CTCCCTTCCAGCAGGATTCGGCAGCCTCTGCTGAGCACCACTGACTTAACCTTTCCATACAAAAGCAAGTTACTCCTCTGATTTGCCCAGTCTTGAAATGAGTTGAGCTCAATTCTGTTCCCACAGACTTTTCAGGATGCAGAATCCATTCCATCATTCCATAAAATGTCACCAAGCAATTAAGGTTCTGTGGAAAGGGGTCATTCAGATGTCACTTGCAGAACATAATGTAGTTTGAATGAAACGAGCTGGCTTGGTTTAATCTGAAAGGAATTCATGAAGGAAATTCACAAGGAAAAGGAATTCCTCTTGAAGCGCAAGAAGAAACTCAAATGTGAAACCATCCTAAGAAGAAGTTATCAGAACAGCCTAATAACTATTGTCAAAGGCATAATCAACTCTAAAAGCAGTATAACCTACTGCTGAAGCTTCATACACCSATAGCCCTTTGGAGGGGAGGAGAGYGCAAACTTAACAAAGCCTGGATCCCTAGAGAGAGGTGTCCTTGCCCACACCATTACACCAAACACCCATCCCCTGCTCTTTCCCTAACATCCCAAGGATTCTTGCTGACCATAGCAATACAGCCAGCTTCTTTTGCTCCAAAGTCCCCCAGACTTCCTCCCCTTCCTAGGTGCCTCAACGAGGAGGCAAGCAAGAGGCGGGTGACTCTGAGCAGAGTACACAAACTGCATGTATCTTGGATGAAAGCAAATTGAAAGATGAGGTCCAAGAGCAAATCTTAATGGGCTACAATAATAGTCCATTAAATGTCATTAGCAGAGAAATTTTACATCTTTTCCTTGCAGAGAATAAAAGCTATGTTTTTTAAAGTTTTTATGYATTTCTTGCGTTTTCTGGCATCTCACACCTATCCTAATTTCTGCTATATGTACTCCGTCTTCCTAATTCTCTTTAAGAGTCTTCATAAATGTGCTGTTACTGGCACTCCCATCTTAATTGAAACAGTAGGTTTTTTTTTTAAATCTAAAGCGTTAGTTAATACTGGTATGCCATAACTTTAAATCGACAAGTTTTAAAACAGTCTTAATAGTAATCCTTCATTTCCGCATATATCTGAATCCCAGCCTCCTGCCACCGTATATTTTAAACATAACAAACAATTTAAACACCCAAAGCACCATGCTGAGTGTGTGCCCACCTTCGCTAACATCATTTCTGCCTCCTAATAACCCTTATCCTGCCTTAACGAGGATGCCACACCCGGTGGGATCATTTACATGAGAAACATGAGAAGTCCTGCAAGATCTATGGGATGCTTTTATTGCAGTCCAAATGAGGAACTGAGTAGAAAAAAAAAAAGGAGGGTGCTGAAGAGGTATTAAATATTGGGATTTCTTTCTATTAACATTCAGATTCATCGCTGACATGCGTACTCGCATCACATTTTAATGTCTCTCAAAGCAAACAAGCAGCCTACAGACTTCTAAGCAGAGACTTTCCCACGAGGCCTTCAACACCCGCTGCCGAGGCCCTGAGCAAGCCCGAGGCAGGGGGGTGGGGGGGAAGAGGAGGAGGAGCGGGAGGTTTAGGGAGGAGACGGAGCCGCCAGAGCGGAGCCCGCGCGCTGGCTGGGCCGGGCCGGGCCGGGCCGCGGTGCCGCCGCCAGGCCCGCACCTGGAGAGCGGCCGCATGTTGTGCCGCCGCAGCGCCTCCTCCTCGTAGCTGAGCAGCTTCAGCTTCTCCAGCACGTCCTCCATGAGCACGAACATGTGATAGGCCGCGCCGGGACCGCGCTCCGCCGCCACCGCCGCCGCCTCCTCGCCGCGCTGCTCCCGCCCGCCGCCCGCCTCCTCCGCCATCTTCGCGCCTACCCGCCCGTCGCCAGGGCGACGCGCTCCACCAATCCCTTCCGCGCCCTCGTGGCGCCGGCCGCCAATGGTGGCGAAGCATGCCGGGCGGCGCACCCAATCAGCGCCCTGCCCCGCCCCTCGCCGCGCCGGCGGGCGGTGGGACGGTGACGGGCGTGGTCGTCCCTCCCGCYCCGCGCTGGAGGGGCGGGGAGGGAACATGGCGGCTGCGCCCGGCAGCGTCACCGGGGGCAAAGGGGCAGTGTTAAAAACCYTTCTGAAAGCCTCAAATTTACTGTCTTTCCGCTCCCTGACGAGGTGGATGGGGGTCAGGGGTGTAGGCACTGTCCCGCTACTCACATTGCCTCGGTTTGGGGCAGAAAGGCTCTGCCCGACTTCTTTTTTTTTTTTTTTTTTTTTTTAAGCTATATATGGAACCAGAGGTCGGTTCTGTATGGTCATTGCACAGGTGTAACATTAAATACAAGGCATATAAGACAGATATAAGACATAAATGTATAAGACTAATGCAAAACTAGATGTAAGTATGACACCGTGCTTCAAAAGATGATAGTCTTCAGAGCAGCACGCACACAGGCCTGCCTTGGTGGGGCTGGATAATCTCTTTAATACTTTAATATTTTTTTTCTTAATAATAATTTTTCTTTAATACTTTAATTCCTCTTTCTTTAATACTAGTCACTGGTACATCACTTTCTCTGGGCAATTTACCTCAACTGAAGTAACTGAAAATAAGGAAGGAGGCTTGTAACAACCTAATGAAAAGCAGAAAGGGGAAGAAGAGGGGGGAAAGAAAGAAAAAAAAAAAAAAAAAAAGCCTTTGTGCCCCAAACCGAGGCGAAAAAAAAAAAAAAAAAAGCCTTTGTGCCCCAAACCGAGGCGATAGGAGCAGCGGGACGGTGCCTACACCCTGACCCCCATCTGCCTCCTCAGGGAGCAAAAAGGGGTTAAATTTGAGGCTTTCGGAAGGGCTTAGACAACTGCCCCTTTCTCCCTGAGGATGTTGATGAGCGCAGGCGCCACATTCCCTCTTCTCCGCTTTTCCCTCCTTGTTCCCCTCCAGCGGCGCCGGGCAGAAGGGAAGACGGTGCCGTCACCATCCCGTGGTGTTGGGCAATATTTACTATTTCAGTTAACAGTTGGTAGGTGCAATTGAAGTTGTAGTTCAGTTGAAGATGAACAAMAGCTTCTTCCTCGTTCAGCTTGAGCATAGCTGCAGGTTAGGTAACAACTCAGGTGAGCATGGGAGGGGCTTGGAGAGCGCCAGGAAGGAGAGGCAGTTTCGCAGCTCTGGAAGAGGAGGGTTTGTGTTCACACGGACACACAGGCTGCCTGTCCGTCCCCAGGAAGCCCCTGGCTTGAAACAGTTGGCGTGAGGGAATCCCTGGGCTCCTTGGAAAGTCAGAACAGGTAAATAAATAAGTGAAACCTCAGAACTTTAACTCTGGTGTTTTAAGTGCATGGGAGGGAGGAGCTGTACACGTATATTGAGGTAAAAACAGTCCTCTTTCTAAAAAAAGTCCTCTTTGATGTCCTCTTCCTAAAAAATGTGGGAGCCTTCTACCTGCGGGAGCTCTTCTCAACCGCAGAGAGAAGGAGATAGGATTTAGCTCCTGCATTTTAGCTGAGGAAAGGATTGATAACTACCTGAAGCAGCTCCTGAATGTTTCCTGGGAAGGCTCTGAGAAGCTAGTATCGTTTCTGTAAAATGTTCCGTGCTTGATTTCCTTCTTTGCTTGCTGGTAAAACTTGTAATCCTCTCACATTTCCAGTTCTGAGGAGCATGTGTGTGCTTGAAACATGCTGTTACTAAGTTACCTTTGTAAGGAATAAATCAGAGTAATTTTTGCTTTTGTTTTAACAGTGTTAAGAGAACATTAAATAAGGCAAGGTTGCTCCAAAAGCATGACCAAGAAAAGTTTATCAAACAGAGCTTGTTTGAGATCTGCTTGCTATCAAACAGAGCTTGATAAGGGAATGCTTTGATCAACATGCTGGTAGAGTGCATGGTATGCCATGATGCATCTTACTGATATTAAATAAACAAAATAAACTTCTTTTCATTCATTGGCCAAAACAAGCTTGCTTTTTCCCCTAGCACTACCTTAGCTGCTTGACCAACCTTCTGGTATGTGTTCTTGGAAGAAGCATTTTAGTACCATGACTTCTTGTCAGAAAACCTGGCTTAGCTTCTGCCATCAGAAGAGAATCTTCTCCAGGTTAAACAGGTTCAACTCACTCACTCTGTCCTTGTACAATAGATGCTCCAATCCCTTAATCACCTTCGTTGCCCTCCGCTGGACCCTCTCTAGAAGCTCTACGTCCCTCTTCTTATACTGGGGAGCCCTGAACTGCCCCCAGTACTCCAGGTGTGGCCTCMCCAGAGCTGAGCAGAGGGGCASAATCMCCTCCCTTGACCTGCTGGCAACACTCCTCCTGATGCAGCCAGGATSCCATTGGCCTTCTTGGCCATGAGGGCACACTGCTCACTCATGGTTAACTTGGTGTTCACCAGGACTCCCAGGTCCCTCTCCGTGGAGCTGCTCTCCAGCAGGTCGACCCCTAATCTGTCCTGGTGCCTGGGGTTATTCCTCCCCAGGTGCAGGACCCTGCACTTGTCCTTATTGAACCTCATGAGGTTCCTCTCTGCCCAACTCTCCAGCCTGTCCAGGTCCCTCTGGATGGCAGCACAGCCCTCCGGAGTGTCGGCCACTCCACCCAGCTTGGTGTCATCTGCARACTTGCTMAGGGTGCAYTCCGTGCYCTCGTCCAGGTCATTGATGAACAAATTGAACAGCACTGGGCCCAGYACTGACCCCTGGGGGACACCACTGGCCACAGGCCTCCAACTGGAGGCCCCATTTATCACCACCCTCTGAGCTCTGCCATCCAGCCAGTCAAGAGCGGACTTTGAGTCCTGACCAACCAGAGGGAGAACCTCTTCTTTGTGTGTGTTTCTATCCGCTGTTTCTGCGTTTACATCTTTTGAAAGTTCAACCCATGCTCTTTCATGGGTTTTCAAGTGAAGATACCTATTACAAAGGSCTAGAGCCTTTATAATGCTATAAAAAGTATGTGATTAGTGAAAGCMGTTTACCTGTATTTAACCAGGTTTTCTTCTCCTCTTTTATGTTGTCGTTTAGAAGTGGGTCTACTATCAAGGAAGACATGAAGGCACAGGAAATAKCATCCCTTCTCATCTATTTATTCCATATATGCCCTACAGTTTGGGGTACGTTTTAGTAATTTTGTTTAAGAAAAATAAGACAACTGTTGATTCATTTTGTGCAGAAGTGGCTGAGAACTGTYCCAGGAGTCCCATGACACTGGTTGTGGCAACGAAGCCGGTTTAAGAAACTGCACCACTTCATCTTGTTTGTTTGCTTGGGGGATGGTACAGCCCCTTTGGGTTGTGTCTGTGCGAGGTTTGTATGTAATCCAGATGTTTGCAACRTGGGCATGGCAAACTGCAGCCTGAAGGTGGGGAGTCCTTCAGCTGGTTTTCATGGTTTGGGTACTTCTGGAAATCATTTGAAGCTGGGGTGCTCAAGTGGAGGTGTGCTTATCTGAGTAAATAGGAGTCTAGTGTGGCTACCTGCTTAGGCAGGTGGCAAGCTGGAAGGTCAGAGCCTGCCTGGGGCTGAGTGGCTTTCCCCCACTAARTGCTGCTGCACCTTGCCTGTGATGGGAAGGCAGCAGTCAGAGTGTGCTACCTGCCACGGCRTTTTTGTTAGGGGAAGGAAGAATGCATACACAGAATTTAATCCAACTTATTCAATAACATTTATGTGCTTTAGGTTCTAGAGAGCAGAAAACAGTAACAGGACATATTTTTGGAGACAGCGTCCTCCCTTGCTTTTTCCCACGTGGCAACGATGTAGTAATTTACTGGAAGAAAAAGGACAAAAATGTGCACAGCTACTACTATCAGAGGGATCAACTAGGAGTGCAAGACACGGGCTACAGAAACAGAACTCTGCTTTTTCACGGGGACATTGGCAGTGGAAATGCCTCCTTGAAGCTTAGGAACCTGACCTTTGCTGATGAGGGCCTTTATCAGTGCTACGTGGGAACGCAGGAAACTAAAACAGAGGAGGATGTCATGCTGCACGTAAAAGGTAATAAGACACCAAAATTGCTTGGACTGAACCAGTAGGAATTGCACACCATGTTATTTGTCACAGGGAACAGAAACCCAACAGAGCACCTTTTAGACCTGTTAGTATTCCCATACAATTCATTTTCTCTGATGAAATTCTGCAATCACAGAATTTGAAAAAAATCACAGTGCTGAGTGTGTTCTTATAACCCCTTGCATGGTAATTATTAAAGATTTATGAGATAGCGCTCGTCAGATTTAAAGACATAATGTGGAATCTCAGAACAGTGAGAACTCCAGCATTGACAGTAAATAATACTATACTGTCTTCTGAAAAAAAAAAAAAAAAAAGCAGCTTAAGTTTCATTCTCAGTTACATCTGTTTGCCCCAATAATTTTCCAAAAGTCGACCCACTTTAAACTTAAAAGTATTTTGAAAGTCTTCTTTATATTCCCAGATTCCCCGTACCGTGCACTGGAGTACCAAAAGACGGGCACAGAAAGGAGGCTGAGGTGCTTCGCCTTTCTTACTTACTCCATGCCAAACATAACTTGGACCCGAGGCAACGTCTCCATCCCACAGGCGGGTGTGGAGGAAAGCCGGGTTGGAATTCTCCGGACGGTTAGAAGTGACCAGGACATCACAAACCCATCTGTTCCCTACCGGTGTCACATCGGCCTCCGGCGTGAGGAGTGGGCTGCCGAATGGAAGATGGAAGGTAGCGACCAACTAGCTGCGTCCTGCATCACTGCTGAATTACCAGCTGCTTTCTTACCTTTCCTCCTTTATCGTTTTCACGTTTTGGGAGCTGCATGATGATCCAGCTTTACACGCTGTTGAGCTGAGCCAGAGTATAGGAAAACCTTCGTGCACCTATGGGTTATTCAAGGGAGAGGAAGGCTYGGCTGCTCCTTTAGATACCTCTGTTCCTTGCGCAGTCCATCCCCTAAGCTTTGCCTSAGTTTCTTCAGTACCATTTGATTTTTTCCTTTGAAAACAACTGGGTGTTCTTATGCACCCAGGTGCAGAGCTGCAGGAGCATGGGGAGGAAGAGCAGCAAGGACAGTTCGGATTTGGGCAAACAGCAGCTTATTSTGCTAGCTAAGGAAGGGCAGCACGGTGACATGTAAAGTCCCCATTTTATCCTGCTCACGCAATTCCAGGTATTCACTGGAAATACAGTTGGATAAGTAACTGGTGCTTTCAAGCTCACGTATTTAGTATTTCCCAGCAGCAATGCAAGCGCAGTTCCCTTGTGAGACATGTTCGTTTGCCTCCAATTGCCCCAATTTCCTCCTAACGTACCCAGAACACTCCCACTTCCCGGTTCAATGTATGCACTATAGGACAAACGCATTGTTTGGAATTCACATGTAATAGCACGCAATTATGGTAGGCTTTGGGCATGCTATCATACTAGATAACAAGTGCAATAAATGTCTCTTATTAATCTGTCCTGCTGACTGTAAAAGCAAATGCTGCATTTTGTTACTTTATGTTTTATTGTATTTGCATGCATCCCTCTCATTGGAATGCCCTTGAGAAGGTGCTGTTTCACTTTCCTTGTAAAGGCAGCAAAGGGCACAGTTTTGTTTTCCTTTCCCTTAATGGCTTTCAGCCCCACTCCAGCCAAGCTTGGGTCTACCACGTCAAAATGACATATTATTCCTCTCCGTCCGGCTGCCAACCACCACAGCTTGCTCTCTGCTTTTCCTCCCTTGGAAGCAAATCTCTGAAGTTAGGCTGCTTCCTGTGCTAAATCCCATGTTAGTATTTTAKACAATATGTTATGCCCGTTACCTCATCTCTCCCTTCCTTTCTTCCTTAAAAGCTATTCATTGCATTTTAAGTGTTCAGCACAGATAGATAAAATAGACCTAAAAGTTATTTCCAAGTAGATGTTGTGTTGTTAAAGTAAATATAGACATTTTATTACTTTAATAAGGTAAATGCTGTTGTTATAGTATTTTTTTGGATAATCATAGAATCACAGAATGCYGAAGGTTGGAAGGGACCTCAGAGGTYATCGAGTCCAACCCCCCTGCTCACRCAGGGTCMCCTAGAGCACGTGGCACAGGGCTGCATCCAAGCGGGTTTTAAAGATCTCCAAAGAAGGAGACTCCACAACCTCTCTGGGCAGCCTGTTCCAGTGYTTTGTCACCCTCACAGTGAAGAAATGCTTCCTTAAGTTCCTGTGGAACTTCCGATGCTTCAGTTTGAAGCCATTTCCTCTAGTCCTATCGCTGTCCACCACTGAAAAGAGGCCGCCCCCTCCTCCTCACTGCCTCCCTTGAGGTATTTATACACGCTGATCAGGTCCCCCCTCAGCCTCCTCTTCTCAGGCTGAAGGTGTATAATGTAGGTGTGTTTGGACAAAAACTCTGTGTTTCTTAGTATCTCTTAAAAAAAAATCCAAATTGAGATGCTTGCAGAAGCTTACTGAGATGTTTGAATATAATATCAAAATCATGAAATGTTTTTAGAATTAGACATGGTAGTACAATCAGTTGAAACTTCAGAAAGTCTTAAATAAGCTTTAAAATATTTTCCCAAATATTTCTGATTTCGATTACCTGTTTCAGAGCAACTTTCCAGTGTGGAAGGAAATAACACGGCAATTCCTTGTGAGTGCATCCATTGCGCCTCTTCCCCCGCGGAGCATGTCAGCGTTGTCTGGACAATGAGCAGCAACGGGGGAATTTCAGTGCTGGCCTCCTACAACGGCACCTCCCGCTCTTACCAGCCACGCGCCCGCATTAACACAACCGACTTTGCGCTGATGCTGAGTGATCTTAGTGCAGGCGACAGCGGGGAGTATCTCTGTAACATTTCCACACCTCGCTACACAAAACTTGTAGTGAGGAGTTTGCACGTTGGTAAGTAGGTGCCTGCCCTTCCCACCTCAGAGGGAGGGAGCTAATCCCCCTCGCCTGCCCCTGACTGCTTTCAGAAATGAGAACCCACAGCAGCTTACAGGATAAACCTCTAAATGCTGGGTCAATAGCAWGTATAGACCTTGTGTAAGCAAGTGTTTGCAACCTGAAAGACTGAAAAAAACACAAACAGTACAGAGCTCCTCATTTAGATTTAAGTGAGAACTTGAAACAAGTCATTAGTACAGCATGGAAAATAAAGGCAACATAGCAGAAAAGGGAATAGAATGAATAATGTTGTTCCCTGCCCCTTCCAAAATGGTTTAGTCTCAGCCCACAAACTTGTTTAGGGTGGCTTTAAAACATTTCATTCATGTGTAGCCTGTTTTAAATGGCAGTAGGTATATATAATCTGAAGAGGGAAGGGAGTTATTTTAAAGAAAACTGTTCTGTCAGACACTTCCTTGCAGCTCACAAGCCAGCATCACCGTCCCTAGCCTGTCAGCCTAATACTGTAGCCCTGCAACAGAGGGAACAGGTCCCTCCCAAGGCTTTCTACACACCCAGCTGATGCTCCTCACTTAGGTGTGTGCTAATGCTTTTCTCTAAATGCTTTTCTGTAGCCCCTTACTGCAAAACAGAACTTTGCAGGACACAAACCTAATTGGAAATAAAGGAAAAAAAAAGAAAGAAAGGACCAAGGAAAGAAAATCAAAAGGAACGAGTCCCATGAGTTTGAGTGGTTTCAGGCTGTTGAAATTGGCTGGAGTGATGAGGAGCTCAGGCCTATATAGGACCAGTCTCTATTAGATAGGGCTGTTCTTTGTAAAGTCTCATTTTGCCACTTGAGCATCTGCTGCTTTTCGTGCTCGCCCGGATGGCGCTGTGGCATCATAAAGTTGGGAAAGGTTTTAGAAGAAAGCTGCAAATATTTCACAGTAGGTCTTGAATTAAGAAATCCTCAAATTATATTATCTGAGAACATACAGAATTCTGTATCAGTGCAGTTAAACAAAATAATCTTTTTACAGCTATTCATGCTTAGGTCATTAAAGTATCAATTGAAAGTCTTCACTTATACTATAGTCAATTAATTTGGCCATTGTCACTTTACTAACATCAAAAAGAAACTGATTCTCCCTAAATCATAGCTTTTAAATTATGAGTCAGAGAAAAGTCTTAGCTTAATGTACTTATTGAACAATAGGAAACTATTACTTTTGCAGTATAAGGACTTAACTCTTGGGCATTTTTATTTTAAATGACAATCCAGGTGATGCATATCCCACCCGGAATATTGTGAGAATTGCGGTGGCCTTAGAGTACGTGACTGTGATAGGAGCCTGTATTGTGGCTGTTTCTACTGTAAGGTATGTACAGTCATTCAGAGATTTATTTTCAAATGTACTACTAAGGTAAAATGCAGACCTTGAGTGTTCCACCAAAACATTCTGATTTCAGYAGCTTAAAAGCATGCAAATAAAAACTGAAAACATAAATGATGTGATGAATATCTTGGCATAAAGAAATTGTTCTCATGTTTGCTGTTTTCTTTGGCCAGAAGCCCTGCTACATCTACACAGGAGTATTTCAGTTGTAGCCTTGTGAACATGCCTTTCCCTTGACCAGATGTTTGTTTATGCTTTTTAAAAAGATCAATAAGTTGATTATGCTTCACAATAATTTTGATTAATTGCTTTAAAAACAGTAAAGCGCTATTTAATTTTCTTCTATTCTTAAGGAAAAAAAATAAAAAGAAACCCCAAATATAAAGACTCTCAGAGAGTGCACACACCTCATCTGCAGTGGCACTAAAAGCTACATCTCAYGCCCATACTGCAATAAGGGATATTTTCTTGCATATCTCTAATTTCTTAGCCTCATTTTTTTTTTCATTGCTSTGCCCAACTCCTGAGCTGGTCAGAATTCGAGGCTGTATGGACTTAGCTTAAGCCTACACCCTCTCTTCCACCAATGCCATCTCATCCATCTCACTTTTGCATCACTTTTGCATTAAACATTTGTGGTGAACAGAGCTCTCAACCTGTAGGCTTCCACCTTACTCTGTGGCACTGGATTTCATGCTCTTGCGGTGGCAAGAAGCTGGATCTATTACATCGAATTCTGTCCTTCCTTTGCATTTATAGCGAGTGTCCTTTAACAAAACCAAAACAAACAAGAACAAACTTTGCTCTTATTTTTTAAGGTAAGACTTCCCGTGATTGACAGCATGGCCCTAACCATAGCGAGAGCTCTCTCTGCACTCCTCTGGGCCTTGACAAGCCAAACCTGGAAAGCKGCAGGAAACATTTTGCCAAGGTTAGAATGAGGTGCTAAACACACGTCAGCAGACAGGCACTCAAATGGCTGAGTCTTATTTCTCCCCGTGTTCTTGATAGTCAGTCGCAACTTTAACCAGCTTCTGAGATGCATCTGTTTCAATTTATTGAAACACATGCACCAAAGCTTGAAAGAATTTAGACAAAATCCCCTTAATCTGTGACTTTATTCATTCATTTTTTTTTTAAAATATACCTTTAACATAGCATAACCAGAGGTAGCAGAAGAGCCTGCAGGGTAACACAATTCTGTTGTATGGATGAAGGCATGGATGTAAGAAACCAGTATTTCTGCACTTTTAGGTAGAGGAATCGTTTACACGGCTAATGTTGAAAAAAAAATACTCTTACCTTTAGAAAGAGCATATCCTTTTCTGTTCCTAATAGATTAATTTTGCACATCACTAGTTCTTACATTTTTTTTTGTTTTGGTTAGAAAAAAAAAACAAATGGCCTGAGCACTTTGAACTACCAAGAGGAAAACCCCAGCTGCTCCTGTGCTTACTGCTAARACCAAAACTCGAAGAACAAAGACTTCTTGGACCTGCTGGATTGAGTTACAGCGGGAAGCAAGTGGGAATGCAGCCAGCTGAGCAACACGAGCAAAAAAAGAAAKGGACAGGAACAATGTGCGACCAACTGGCCTCTGTGTGACGGGTCTGCAGGAAAAATGGGGACTTGGCTATCTTAAGAAGAAAACAAAGCATCACGGGAGAAAAACAACAACAAAAAAAATCATTTTTGATATGCGGTTTTTGAGTATAAAGGGAAGAGAGAGCTTGCTGTTTTATTATCCTACAAAACGGGTGCAGATGCTGAGGGGCAGGACAGATGTAAGCAGCAAGTGGCTATGGAGCTTAAGGCCTCTCTCCCACACAGGCTTAGTCTACGCTGCTTTAAGTGCCTGCATGTGAAGGACAGAAGCTGTGAAGCCTGGTGGGACTGGTTTGGCTTCGGCTGTGTCAGAGAGCTGCCAGTTGAGATCTGTTGCAACACACTGCAAAGGGCAGTGTGCAGAATGTAATCTCTTATTGATCCTTGGGGCAAGGCCAAATAGAAATACAAAGAAACAAATGGAATACACTAAGCGGTTTCTTTGTTTTTTTCAGTTATTTATTTCTGTAAGTGCCTATTTTTTCCTACTTAAGTGTTCAGTTGTGCCGCTGATTATATGAAGCGTCTTCTCCTATCACATCAACTCGGATGGTGTCTATTCCTCTTCATGAACCTGAAACRCAGTTAAAGCAGAGTATACATCCATTAGAACTGGAAGCGGTGAGAGTTTTAGAGCAAGCTTCTGAGTAAGCAATAAAAGCTTCTGCTCCCATGACATTACCAAATTATATCTGATATATACCAGCACTAAACTAGCAYGTCATATCGAAGCTAGCAATTGAGTCCTGTCTTTCTGCAGCTAACAACATGGGTCTCTCTATAGCAGTAGCAGATACAGAAACTAGTAAGAGACAGGTAATTACACTCTTAACCAATCTGTAAAAAAATAAGCTATTCCCATCGTTTACCTATTTCATTGTCTGTGTGATGGCAGGGCTTGTGAAATTAGATGAGTTTTCATTCGTTTTGTATGGCTGGAATAATTTGAAGACAAAATAAATATGTGAAATGTTTACTTTTTAAAACTGCAAAACATCTGTGAGTTTCACTTGCTTCCATCGTATGTATATGTAGGAAGACCCAGTTCTTGGGTAGGTTTATATAGATCTGCTCTGGCTAGTGGGACTAGTAACTTACATCTATTACAGGTGACTCTCTTAGGGCAACATAAAAGCAGAAATTGGCGATYTTATTCCTCCTACAGAATGATGGATACAGCAGAGAGGAGGTGCTGATGGCAGCATAGAGCCAGTGTGATCAAAATAACACAGAAAGGATTCTTGGGCTTAACTCAGGACTTGTCACACCTGTAAAACTTCTAAAGACTTTAACCACAGGACTTTGTCCCACTTGCAAATGAAGTAGGGAAAGCAACGAGCCAGCTGCTGCAAATAAGGGTCCCATGCTTGCTCCCTTGGCCTGGCTCCCACAGGCAAGCGAGTGGAAATGGGCCAATTGTTGTGTTCAGTTTCAAACGCAAGTTCCCAGGAACCTTTCATTTTTATCAATATTACTCTATTACCCTTTTGCCCAAGTGCAAAACAACACAGCTATGTTTCTAATTATTAATGATTTCCCAGCACCCTAGTGACTTTTCACTTAATTTCTTTTCATCTGGCCCTTCAAGTCAACACATCTTCATTGAAAGAGCAGACTTAAGAGTATATGGCAACCTGCTAGTGCAGTTGTTCATATCTGGATATATGTTCACATGGATATACGTTATATATGGATATACATATATCCTGGATATATGTTTCATATCCAGGCTGTATTATATACATAGGAATTCACATCTTAAGAGGGAAAAAAGATTGCATGTTTTTAATCTTCCTCATAAAAAAAAAAATAACACCCAGAATTGGGGAATTCTGGGGAAGGGCTGCTGAGCAGCAAAGGTTGAATGACAACACTGAGGGAATGGGCCTTTCATTTCTCATAAGCTTCAGATCTCTTTCCTAAAGACTTCTAAAGAGTTACCCTAATGTAAAAATAGTGTAGACTGAAATAAAAATACAGTAAAAAACTTTTTTTTGCACCCCATGCTATTTTAAGAGATGCAACAGACCTTTATGCATATATTGTATACACTAATCATACATTTACACCGCATGTTATGTTACTAATTATACATTTATACCATATGTTACAACCATACCTTTTTCATGCCGATATCTCTTGACTTGCTCCTCAGCTTATTAACTTGGGATTCAGCTATTTCAGCCCTTTCCTCAGCATCATCCAGGTCGTGTTGCTGCTTTCTGTACTTGGAAAGGTAGAGGTTGGCTTGGGCCTCCTAGCGAGAGGAAAGAGTGAGGCCGATTAGCTCCTCTCCAGGTGAAGCCAAGTCCCCAGCTGCAACCRAGGCAGAAAGTGCTTGGTGTGACTTGGCAATGGCTCTGCAGGCAGCGCTTGCCTCTTGGAGGAAMAAGTTTGTTGCTTAACACATTTGCTGTTTCCAGCAGCACTCTCCATTTTAAGTAAATTGGGAGGCTCTCCACCTCCCTCTTGAGGGACTAGTAGGGGCAATAAGTTGTGGGTCGCCCTCTCTCCCCGCACCCAAGCAAATTATACTGCAACACCTTTTCTTAAATATAAYTACCACATATTATAAACACATATATAAAGACATCATTTATACAAATATAAACACACAAGCACACAAAATGTGTATTGATACCAAAAGCTTCTACTCCTAGAGACTGTGGTGATAGGACAACAAATTTCTCAAAGAAAGAAAGAAAAAAGGAAAAAAAAAAAAAGAGTCCAGTTACTCACAGCTTCTTCTGCTTGGTGCTTGTAGCTCTTCACTTTTAATTGTAGCTTGTCAATCAGATCCTGCATTCTGGCCAGATTCTTCTTATCTTCTTCTGACTGTACCAAAACATCACTGAACGGGTTAATAGAGTGCAAAGGTCTAAAGTCTATYCCAAAGTCAAGCAGTTAAGGGTGGCATATGTGTTTTGGAAAGGTTTAGTTAGAAATACAAACACACTACACTATGATCGCCCTACATATGGATGAGAAAATAATTACAGGTTGGTTGAGAATATATGTAAGCTTGAAGGCGTAGGATTAAAAAAGAGCATCATCCCCATTTATATATGCATACATCTGTATATACACACTCACACATACAGATGTGCATACGTAGATGCACAGAGGTCCTGCTCAGGGCTGAGGAGCACTCTTGCCATTACAGCAAGCATCATTACTGTGTGAGACAGACTGATGGGCGAGCCTAAAATGCATTTAATTTACATTATTTTTAATTTGGAGGCACTTTTGTTCAAAGGAGCCAGGTTGAAGCTCTCTCAAGCCATAAAAGGACCAGCTAATTCTGCCTACTTGTGCACGAGCATCCTGAGAAAACAGCCTGAAGCCTGTATGTGRGAAAGTCATGGTAAAATAGCAGATAGGAAACTAAAAAGAAAATCTCCTTAAGCAGATGGATGGGATTATGTTCCTAAGAATGCTGACAGGCTCAATGCTCTGAAGAGTTGTTCTTTTTCCCTGAAAGATGAGCAGTAAGAGCAGCTGTTAGCAAGCCTGCCGGAGGCTTAGCCTTGTGGTCCAGCACCAGGTGGCTGAGCCCTGCGACCTGCCAGTCCCACGCGATGCGCCAGACAAGGAGCCAGGCCCATGGTTGCCCCACCAAGAAGCCAGGAAGGGCTTGTGGTGATGGAGAGCTCCTTCCCCTCCCAACGTGCTCTCTCCCACTCAACTTGACAGCATGTAGGTAGGGTCTAACCGGGCATACGCCAACTAAGACCTGTCCAGCATGCAAATTATGACCGAGAGTCCATCATCTCCCTCCCTCTCTCTCCCACACATAGGGGTCAGCCCCCAGGCTAAAATTTGCACCCAGCTGTTGCTGCTCACAGTCAGTTGCCATCCCTGCAAAGAGCCACGCACACAGGCTGATCCTAACCATTAAAACTGGCCCACCAGYGCTTAAGTGCACATAGACACGCTAACTGTCTGAGTCCTTCCAGCTCCTTTTAGTAACATCAGCACAGCTGAGTGACAGCTGGGCTTCCTTCTCATGCAGAAGATGCAGACTCTCATCTGGGGCTGCTCTGCACTAGCCCCATGCTGAAACTGTGCACACAGCCAGCAGTAAGAGGCCTTCTCACACCAGGAGCAATGGGTCAGGCAAAAGGTGCTGGCTGCAGAGAGCTGTTCCCCCCATCTCCAAAAACCCGCATTATGGGAGAGCTCTGGGGAGCACGGTCCTTTAGCRAGACACACAGGCAGCTGCAAGCTGGGAGAACGCTCCTTTCCAGAGACTTAGAGGTTAGTGCTGTGCCCACCATACCTGGTATGTCAGCTCCTTTATGCGCCTCTCAAACTTGCGGGCTCCTTTTTGGGCATCTGAATTACGGCGGAGTTCATTCTCGAGGTCATTCTCCAGCTCACGAACCTGCCAAAGATGGAAAAAAAAAAAACCCCTTTCCATTATGTCAATGTCATATATCTAAAGCAACAGTTAATCTAGGTCCCAGTTCAAGCTGTGCTTGTTTTCTGCTGGATCTCTGTAGAGGTGAGCTTCCAGAGCACATCAAAATAGAGCCTTTCCATGATGCTTTTTTTCATAGTGGAGAGACTTTTCCTATTTTTTCAGACCTTGTGCCCCCTTCCTCTCCACTTTTTTTTTTTTTTTCCTAATTTTTTTTTGGGGGGCCTTAAGTCATGGGCTTGGTCATCTGTTGTGCAACAGTAGCTCCATATAACTGGATGATGAAAGGCAACATGCCTCCAAGAACAGTTCACCGGCTATTTGTGCAAAAGGAAAGAGTTCAGAGTATATTTGACTGGGCTCCATGAACTCATCTGTTGGTCCCAGCTCTGTGAGGTGGGAGACAGTAGTCTGTAATCTGACCACAAACTTACCCTTGATTCCAGTTTCTGGATCTGCTTCTTGCCACCTTTCAGGGCTATTTGTTCTGCTTCATCCAGTCTCTTTTGGAGGT